AGTTTAGTCTGAATAAAATCCAGCATAAATGTATTACTTTGTTCTGGGCATAATGGCTCGGCGTCTTTCTTGCGAGCTTTCTTCCTCTGGGCAAGGCGCAGATGAAGTTGTCATTCTGGACTTTTTGTTTTCTTTTTGAGTCTCCAGATCTTGCTAGGACACTACTTCTTTCAGACAGTCATGTAGTTGTGGCACCTGATCATATGTGAAATAGAAGCGCTTTAACCATCAGCCAAGCTTGGTGATCTGGAGGTCCCCATTGATCTTTATGGTATCAATGGCAGATAATGTTTGAATGCGATGGTAAAAATCAAAAAGTTGGTGTCCATCCACAAACACTCTAAAACGTGGGTGCTCGCAAAGAATCTCCACCTAGAAGAAACAAAGTAACAATTTAATGCACAATTTTGGATGAATCCTGCTGGAGGGAGGGAAAAACCCCAACAATAAACGCACACTTCATTGTTGAGAAGAAAAGCAATACCCCCAGCGAATCTTAAATATCACAAGGTGCAGAAGCTAGTTAAGAGTCTGGACTGCTGGGTTCCACATCCTCCAACTGTCACCTCACCAAGTCCAGGGCACAGGCTAAAAGTCTGCATTCTCTCCAGAGCCCAGGAAGGGATGAGGTGCTTTTGGAGCAAGGAACCCACTTTGAGAAGCACTGCTCTGTATCAGTGAAAGGTTTTCAGCGGGAGGCTGTGACAGCCCTTCTGAGCTCCACGCAGAGGTACAAAGGGGCACAGGTCTGCTACTCTAACACGATGCCCTCACGTCCCTTGCTGAACAATTCCATCCCACCTACAGGAGAGCCGCTCCTGAGGCCTGAATGGTCCATTAGCAGCATCTAAGAATAGTCTAGACAAACATGGTAACTGCTAGGAGAGAGGATTACACAGTAATTACCACTGGACAAGAATGTGTAATTAACCAGGCTTTGTTAAGACAAACAAACACTGAGTCCACATGGGAAACCCTTTCCCATAATTCACCACAGAGGTTTCTTTTTCTTTCTTTGAGCCGGGGTTTCTCTGTGTAGCCCTGGCTGTCCTGGAACTTGCTCTGTAGACCAGGCTGGGCTTGGCCTGCCTCTGTCTCCGTGCTGGGACTAAAGGCGTGGACCAACACCACCACCACCATCACCATCACCACCACCACCACCACCACCACCACCACCACCACCACCACCACCTGGCCACCACAGAGTTTAATACTTGGCTGTGCTATGATGCTTTTAGAAAAACACTGGCAATCACCATGTAGGAGACTCGACATGTGGTATTAGTCACATTTACTTCATATTACTGTTTAAATTATATCACCAGGAAGTTCTATTTCATTCCATTTTTTTTTGTTGTTGGGAAGCACTGTCTTCCTCCTAGTCAGAAGCTCACAATCACGAATTAGGTGTGCAGATTTACTATCTGAGATAGCTCAGCTGGCAGAGCACTCTGCCTTGCAAGCAAGAGGACCCACATTTAATTCTCTCCCCCCTCATACTCTGCCTTGCAAGCAAGAGGACCCACATTTAACTCTCTCCCACCTCATACTCTGCCTTGCAAGCAAGAGGACCCACATTTAATTCTCTCCCCCCTCATACTCCCCCAAAAATGTCAGGCCCCAAATGTGTCTGTTATATCAGTGGTGGAGAGGCAGAGACACAGGGATACTTGGGTTCACTGGCCAGCCAGTTTAGCCCAACTGATGAGATCTAGGACAGTGAAAATCCCTGTCTCAAAGGAGATGGAGGATGGTGTCCGAAGGATGATTCCTGAATTGGCCTCCAGCCTTCAAGCACACACATGTGCACTCACACACGGACATGGATACACACACACACAGCTTACCACTTAAGAAACCGGTATAGCAAGAGCTGCCTACGAGCGCTTACCATTCTAAAGGGGGACTGAGGTAAAGGGTAACTTCCTAGATTATGATTGCAAGGGGAACAATCTCATTTCTATCACTGACGTAAAAAAGTTATGGCTTTTTATTTTGCCTTAGACTCTAAGGAAAGAGAAAGAGTCCGGAGGCCTTGAGAAGCTCCACATGAAGACCAAGGCATTAAGAGCAGTTTTGTTTGCTCTGGCTTACTGCAGCACTGAGCCTTTAACCAAGCTGCCGTTATTGTGAAGTGCGGTCATGGAGCATCATCAGGCCCGACAGCAAGCCCTTTTATATGACCGACCAGAACCTCTTACATGGCAGTGCCCTGCAGAGGAATGCATTGCTACTGCTGCCCGATGAGATGGCACGTTTGGGCTGTGTTTCCTGCCTGCTAGACAGCAGGAGCAAACCTCTAATATCCAACCAAGCCCAAGGGAAGAAGTTTGTCAGCCACACAGCTTGTGACCATGAAACAGACAGGCTTAATTAACCCACAGGGGAAAATAAATACACAAATATGGACTCATTAGCAAAGGGAATGAGAGAAGATGAAATAATAATCACTAAATTGTTTTAAACCCAAAACTAGTAAGGTTTTGAGCTACTCAAAGGCTGAGAAACACGAAAATTCTGGATACTTATTAATATTTAATAATGAATCAGACACTTGAGGGTGGGTTTTCACTAGGTGCCTAACACTATGCTGGGAATTACACAGAAAATTATTGACTAAGTACTCCCAGCTTGGCCTGATGGTACAGGTCTATAATGCCAGCTACTCTGCAAACTGAGCCAGGAGGATTAGAAATTCAAGGCCGGCCTGGGCAATTTAGTGAGAACTTGTTTTAAAATAGAAACAAAAAAGAGGGCTTCGATCGTAGCTAGCTAGGCGGTAGACCTTACCTAATGTGCACAAGGCCTTGAGTTCCATCCCCACTACCGCCCCCAAAGTAAACAAATAAATAATTAATACCTCCGTATCGGCTAAGTAGAATTGTGGTTAAGGATTTAGCAATTAGGTATGTACACAGGCATCCATTAACTAAACACATGGGCTGACCAGAATCAAGAGCTACTGTGCAAGTACTAAGGCCTATCAGCAAGCAGATCTCTTTTGTTTTTTATTCTTTTCTCACAGCGGGCTGACAAGTTTCCTGGACACCAAGAAATTCTTAAAGAGCTCTTGGCACACAGTAGATAAGGAGTCCGCAGCAGCCCTGCCAACCCTGCGCTCAGGCACTCGAGGTACCTACCCTGAACGGCTGGTCCGGGATGAATGGGAAGTACGGGATTGCCGACTGCTCTTCACCCCTTTCTCCGGAGATACAAGAGTTTCTGAGGAGCTGCCGGTCTGTGAACACAGCTTTGAGTTCGATTGCCACATCGGCAGGAGGATCTTCCGAGTCACCACAGGTCAAGCTGATGGCAAAGCTAAAAAGAAGGTGTCACTTAGCTGGAGTTAGATGTAACATTTAATTTGACCCAGTTCCTCCCCGTGTGGGTTCGTCTGCTTGTAATGGGCTGCTACTGTTTACACAGAGTTTAAACACCGAGAAGATTACACTCAAGCCAATAGATTTTGTTACCTAAAGCAGGCTCTGGTGAAAATGTTACTGTAACTGAAAATAATTGCAGCTGAAGACTTCAGATGCCCCAGGCCACCCATGCCTTAATCCATTTCGGAATTCTCAAAAACAGCTCCAGAAGCTGACAAGGGAAATATCTTGTAAAGTTTGGTTCTTATTTATTCTAATGGCTTTTACGATGTTTCAAAACCATAAAAAAAGAAAATGAAGTTTTTTGGCCTCCTCATGGGTCAAAGAGAAACTGTAGACCTATTTTTGTCGTTGCTGATATAAATAGCTATCTAGAGAGATGATGGCTAGGATTCATACACATTCTTTTCATGGGAACATGGTACTTTCTTGGCACTCCTAAGTAGCAACCCTGAAGAGGAGGAGGCAGCCATAGCTCAGCAACTGCAGGGCTCTGTCCTTACCTTTCTGGGTTGAGGTCTACGATGCCCATCACTAATACCTTCTTGCCTGGTCGCATGCCACCCTTAATGTGCCCACAAAATGGAACTATCTGCAAAGGAGGAGGGGACAAACAGGAAGTTTACGGCTGTTAGCGAAGAGCCAAGCCCTCGGCCCTGAGGACCTGACCCACCAGAAAGCAAGAAAATTGCAACAGAAAGCAAGGGATCAACGGTAGAGACACTGAGCACATTGATTTACCAGTCGTGGGAAGTACACGTCGGCTTGAACTGGAGAACCCAGGGAGTTGTTTAAGTGCCCATCATCAAGTTTCTAAAAATAGAAGCACACAGATTGGCTTTCCACAGATCCTTGTTTATTAGGGAGTGAATGGAAGGGCGAGGAATCAACACAAATCTGTCGGAGTCCAGCAGCCCTCCACAGACACACAGGCAGCGTCTGCACAGGATGCCTCTTTATAGCTCATTAAATAACCGCGAAACAAAACCCGGCCTTTCCACCCGGTCTAAGCCTCTGATGATGATCCCCAGCCTCTCAGACCGGATCAAATTCAAGGTCGCGGCCCACCGGGCAGCAAAGCCCGTGGAGGTGGGCTGCAGGCCCCTCTCCAGGCACGAATGCTCTTGGAACCTCTGGCCCCCAGGCCTGTCCTCCGGGACGTGGCTGGCGAGCAGCGACGGCGCGCCGCTCCTCTCGGGAGCCCCGGGGCGCGGGGCCGTCCCCAAGGGGGGAAATCCCCGGCCGCCGGGGCCGCGGCCCGACACGAACCCACGTGCACGCACACGCGCCCGGCGCGCACCTGGCCGGCGCCCTCCTGCCCCGCGCCCCCGGGGCCCGGAGCTCCCACCCCGCGGCGGCTGACAGCTACCGCGCCGCCCGCAGCGCCGCCGGCCCGCAGCCCTCGGCCCCGGGCCCGCCGAGCTCCCCTCCTCGCGGGCGGCCGCTGCACTCACCACCACGGCGTCGCTGTCGGCCACCGACCCCGCCATGTTCCTGCAGCGAGCGCCGGGGACGCGGCGGCGGCGGCAGCGGCGGCGGGCGCGGGTCCGAGCCGGGCGCGCGCTCACACGGGCGCGCGCGCACGCCCCGGGCTGGCGCGGCCGCAGGCCCGGGAGGGGGAGGGGAGGGGAGGCGGGCGGCGCGGAGGTCGCGGCGGCGGCGGCGGCGGCGGCGGAGGCGGAGGGAGGACGGTGGCGAGGGCCGCAGTGCGTCGGCCCGGGGTGGCATTTAAAGGCGGCAGAGCCCGGCTCGGGAACCGGGGACCGGGAACAGGGCGGGGACGCGGCCCGGGCGCCGCGGCTTGCTCAGCGTGCCCTGCCCCACGGCCATTGGACCGTGGCTGGAGGCCGGGGAGGGCGGTGGCTCGTCGGCGGGAAGGTGGGTGGGGCCGGGGAAGGGGGGCGGGGCGGGAGGGCCCAGGTGGGCCAGGTGACAGGTGTGGGGACACTCCTGCCCCTCCTGGCCGGCAGCCTAATCGCTCACCTCCTTCCGCATCCTGGGGGGCCAGGGTCGGGGGAACGGTGGGGAGCCTGGGCCAGAGAAGATGGGGGACCCCGAAGCGGGAGGCCCGGCGTGGCTTCTTTCAGAGAATTGCAGCCGCGTGGGAGGAGAGGTTGGCTTCACTGTAGGGAGGAGAAAGAGAACGCAGGGTCCAAGGCTTGCAGGAGATAGTTGACCCTAAAGAAAGAGGCGGCGGGACTCCAGGGAGGGAGTTTGCGGAACACCGAACACCGAGCAAGGCTCCTTCCCGGGGAAGCGCAGGCCCTGTCGCGTCCTAGAAGCTTTCTTGGGCAGGTGCCTGGCCAGATCGCAAATTCATCTGGACACGGCCTCTGTCCTGAGCTAGTTTACTTCACTTGCTTAGTTTGGGGTAACGAGCGCCTCACAGAAAACCCCCCGACATTCTTTGTGGAATACTTCCCAGGGCATACACTTCTCTTCCACTCTAAGGCTCGGACTCCTCTATGGGAGCTCCACACTAGCATTATTATGTAACTTCTCAGATAAGGCTGCATCAGCGTGCCCTCTGTTAGGTGACATCCTTGGCTTACCCTGTGCACTGGGTGAGTCGCCACACTAATAAGCAAGGGGCTTCGGTAAGTTGCTACAGTCCCAAAGGGGCCCTTCGTGGGGCCTGGCATCTCTGCGCTTTTGTATTTCAGTTTTACCGTATGGACCAGCGTTAATCATGGTAATCTCCGTGGTGCGGGGGAATTACCCGAGCATGCCTGGAATCCAGAGAGTCTTTGTGGAAATGGGCCTCAGAATTAGAGGCCGAAGTGAGGTGTCATTGTGCTTCCTATTTTGCTCTTGTTTACTAGCCTGAGCTTAAAAAAAAATCACACCTATTATTCTAAGATATTGGGCAATTATAGGAAACTTGATATTTTAAAGTCATGCTTTGATTATCTGAATTTCTAAGACTCTAGTATAGGGAAAATCCCTAAAGTAATTATTTGCCATTAGCTAAGAGTGCAATAATCAAGGGGATTATAAAGGGCAGTGTCCTGAGTTCAAATTCTGCCACTTACTACTGATAGTAGCATGCTTTAATTTCTTCATTAGAGATGATGATGATGATAACTATGATGATGCCTATCTTGAATTACTCTGCAGATTAGTAAACTGGTTCACACACCTTCCCAAGAAGAGCACCTCACACGTTCTAAAGCACTTGAGTGCCTGCTGTTGACCAGGAATTGAGGAGCAGCAGGGACATTGTTGAGATTACATTCTAGTGAGGAAAGGCAGGCGAAAATATGCAATTATGCAGGTAGTAAAGATTCTGGAGAAAAATAAGGCAGGGAGGGAGAGAGTGTAGGAGGGGGCTGTCTAAGTAGGGTAGTCTGGTAAAGTGATGTTGAGAAGAACTCTGAAGGAAGGAGGGAGGGTGGGAGGGAGGGCGGGACCTCCAGGGGAAGAGGTTGCTGGCAGCAGGAACTGTAAAGATAGAGCCCCAAGGTGGGACCTTGGGGCATTGCTGGACTGGTGGTGCAGAAGTGAGTGCTAAGGTCTTTTACTCCAAGGAAATGGGAAGACCCTGGAAATTTCTGAGCAAGGGAGAGGAAGCTTGTTTTGGGGGGTTTGGGGAGCAAACCCAGGACCTTGCATGTGCAGGGCAGGCATACTGCTGCTGAGTCACATACTGGATCTGCATCCCTCAGCTGATGTGACAAGGGCCTCAGAGAACAGGCAACAGGTCATGAGAGGAGGCAGGCAGGAGTGAGAGGCTCCTGCCTGGCCCAGATGAGAGGAATGGCAGTTTAGAACCCAGGGCAGGGGCCCTCCAGGGGACCTAGCAGTTCCCGCCACAAAGCTCTGACAGTTTGTCACTAAGCTTCCTTAGGGCTTAGAAGCTTCTAGTTCTGAAAGGCTGTGTGAGGGGTACCAACCACACCAGTGGGGTTAAGTGTGGTGCTGCTGCTAAATAAACCTCATGATACGTGGCTTTTCAGAGTGAAGAATAACCCTTAGGTTTGTTTGTGAGTGGAGTTTAAGATATTGGGTTGCTGAAGATGGGTTTCTTACATCCTAGGGGTATAAAGAATTAGCAAGCCGGGGCGGTGGTGGCACACGCCTTTGATCCCAGCACTAAGGAGGCAGAGCCAAGCAGATCTCTGTGAGTTCGAGGCCAGCCTGGTCTACAGAGTGAGATCCAGGACAGGCACCAAAACAACACAGAAAAAACCTGTCTCAAAAAAAAAAAAAAAAAAAAAAAAAGAATTAGCAAGGTGCAGAACAGCTTGGCCTGTGTCAACATGATAAATTGCCTTTTATTAAAACAAAACAAACAAAAAAAAGCTTGATTCTTCTCAGTCAATCTAAATGGTTAATTTTACATAAGGGAGAAAGCCTAAAAGCTTGTCTTTGTAGCTAAAATCTAAGCAGGGTTGAACAACTTCCTACACAGGAAAGCTACTAGCGAATTAATGAACTAAAGCTTCCAAATTTTCCTGAGTTCCTAGAGTGAAAGACAGGCAAACATTTCACTATGCCTTGGTTATAGGCATTTATCTCCAAAAAAGATTAACCAAGAATATGATCTGATTATGAAATACAGCCAGAACTCACGATAAACAACATTTCTGCTAGGAACTTCTTTTTAGAAGCTCTCGGGAACTAAAAGTCTAAAGCAGCAGCAGTCAGACGTGATTGGTCTGGAAAAATATGCAAGTAGGACTTTGAAGATGGGCTTCTCAGATTAAAAACAGGAGCCCGCTTTCTTCGTCCCTTTTGATCCTGTAGGCTTGCCGTCTGTGCTTGCAGATTTCTGAGGGTTCGAGGACAGTGATGTCCGCCTGTACCCCAGCCAGCCCCTTATCAGTATTGCTGTAAGAAGTGGGACTCAAGAGCCAAGATTTGTAGACATTCCACCAAGTACCTCTAACAGATGGCCCCCCAGAGCCCCGTGGGGCAGGCCCGAGCTCAGAATGTCCCCGCCCTCTGTTCTATTCAGTATTGCCCGGTTAATTTCGATATGAACCTGGTATGCTTGCAGTGCCTGAATATTTATTAAAATGAAACCTCTCAAAGCATCTGCTGTGTTTGTTGTCCCATGACGTTGATTCCCTCAGACTCTGGGCTGGGAAGGGAGGCCACAGCCCACTCTGAGGAGCTGGGCCCTGCACAGTGCTGTAAGTTCACTCAGGCATTTAGTTGTTAATAATTGTTTTTGGTAAGCCAGTCCCTGCTCTTAGGACCAATATTCACAAAAGGCAACAAAGTACCCAAACTCAGCATTCTTTGATTTGCCTACTTAGGAGGAAGGCACATTTATCAAGCAACTTTTCTGGATTTCAGAACAGGATTACAGTTTTTAATTATTTTAGGAACTATAGCCTGGTTATCAAATAATTCTTTTAGACATACACAGAATTTTCTCATACCCAAACAATTAGGAGACAGCTGTAAAACTTGGCAGTCAACACTGGTTCTGAACATTTCATTAACTTCTGTTGTTTATGGGGAAGCTAGACCCAGCCTCCTGCATGTGTTTTAATTACAGGGCATGGAAAGGACTGATCTCAGAAAGTGCCCCCCCCCCCCGAAGATAGTTGTGACCCATTCCCTGGAAGAGTGCAGGGCTTCAAAGACTGTGCAGTCCCATGTCCCCTGTCTCCTTCTGGGTGGCTCCCTTCTGTGAACGGTAAGGAAAGCCTGGCAAATTGGAGGCAGAACCCAGCTTCCTGCCCCCAGAGCTGGCATTGTGAACGGAAGGTGTTTTGAGACTCCTCACGGCCAGTCTTGTGCCAGTTCCGAGAGTTCTTGCCTGCACCGGTGGCCTTCTCTCCAGCTCCCCTTCGGGTAGTTCCAGGAAACTGCTGATCTGAGACCAGAGCTCTCTCTGCTGGGTGTGCGACGGGTCTGTGAGGCTGGACCCCAAGCCCCGCTACACGCTCCTCATTGTTCTGGACACTTCTGTTTTCAGTTGTTGGTGCATAGCCCTCCCTTTCGTGGTTTCTGTGATTTTATTTTCTTGGTTGGTGGTATAAAGGGCTTTTTCATCTTGTAGTTTTGTGGGAACTTGCGTGGCTTGGGTTGGTGGAAGAGACACTGTTCCTCGGGGATTTAGCATCCCTGACCCATGAGAGGGAAGTCAGGAAGCATCTGCCCGGTGCTCAGGAGGAAACATCTAGGTGACACAGATTGCCAGCCTCCTTCAAAGCTGAGGATGGCTTCTACAAAGAACATGGAAGTTTAAACTTGATGTTCACATTTGAATGCTCGTGTGTTTTGCATGTTTAGGGATTCATTGAGCTAGGCTCTGCTGTGGTTGCTGTTTTGTTAATGTTTTACTTTCATAAAAAAGGCCAGGCATGGTAGTATGGTCTTTAATCCCAGCACTAGGGTGGCAGAGGCGGGCAGATCTCAGTGAGTTCAAAGCCCAGTCTGGTCTACGTAGTGAGCTCGCCAGGCAAGCCAAAGCTACGTAGTGAGACCACCCTCTGCCCCCAGCAAAACAACACCACCACAAAAATAAGGACCAGCCACATGCATATCTTCACTTAAAATGTTTAGCTCTGTGTGTCTCACGGACACCACTGTTGCCGTAATGTTAGGGCTAAGGACACACAAAATATGATTGAATAGTCTACCCACAATATACCCCTGTGACATATTTTCAGCTGGTTATCCTGAGAATTTACAGATAGGGGCAGCTCTGAAAAGGAATTTTCATCTATAAGGGAAGGAAAATTGTATTAATAATTACCTATATCAGGAAGAGGGATACCCTGAATGATTTTATGCCTGGAGAGGCCACAGAACCAGACAACCTTTATTCACGATGCATTTCCTGCCTACTTTCCCATAACATGTCATTACCTCCACCCCAAACCCCTGTTCTCCATAGCTCAGGGTGCTGTATGGGCTTCTGA